TCTAACTCACATAAAATTTAGAGCACTCCTAGGAAGCAGAATCACAAAGCTTTTTCCCTTTGACAATGCAAAAGAAAGTGGAGTCCACCTGTGTTTCTGCTCTCTCAAGGATGGCTGAGGATGTTAAGGCGATCTCACTTTATCCATGCCTCAAGCTATCCGACAGCAGCAGAAGGTCTTTGTACCAGTTGCCACAGTTTATTTCCCCAGGTGAAGTTACTACAACTGGTGATGGCAAAAGCAAAGAGTAGAGTTTAAAATAGGCTTTCGTAACTCCCCAACAAGCTAGAGTTTCTCTTTCGAGTCATTTTGCCATTCTGTACCTTTGTTTCAGGACGTATATCCACCTTTCATTAAGGTAATTTGATATTCACTCATCTTCTCTCTTTTTTTTTTAAAGCAGGATTTGTTGAGAGGACAGAAAAGTTCCCACAGTGGGAGGGGACCCAAAGGGGTTGCCCCATCTTCTCCTTTTCTACAGCATGAATCACAGGAGCAGGAAATCTGTCTTGGGAGCCTCCATAGTTATCTAGCACTGTGATGGAAAAGAGTATGTATATCCGAAGTATTTGTTCAACTGAATCAAAGCCAGAAAACGATGGTACCCAAAAATGGGATAAATATATCACACTATTCAGCTCTCTGCAAACTATCAAGTATAAAAAAGGAAATCACTAGTATTTATTTTATATCTAGAATTTTCAACCATCATACTAACCTCTAGTGAGATGTAGCCCTCCCTCAAATTTTGAATTATAAGATTATTTTAAAATAAATTATAATATTTTCAGTATGTGGAAAATAATCCCATGGCAAGTTCATGCAACAAACTGCATAACTTAAATATGTGAAAAAGCATATCTTCAGATTATTACTTATATGGTCCTAAAGTTTATTGATTTCCATTAGACTAGAGGTTCTAGACTCTGGCTGCTCAGCAGAATCACAGATAGAGTCTTAAAAAGACTCTCCATTGCCAGAGATCCTGATTTAATTGGTCTGGGAAGGACCTGTTTTAAGCTCCTAGGCTATTCTCTGGTGCAGTGGGTTGAAACCACTGTTACAGATCAAGTCACAATTAAGTTGCACATAACCTTGAAAACCACAGCCTGGAGTTTGTAAACATTCAGAATTCTGATCCTTACAACACATGGTCTGTAAAAGATTTTTCAAGATTAAGTCTTTTTTTTTTTCATAAGTATGACAAACTTTGAGCATTTTGCTTCTAATTTAAAAAAAATTGGTCATCAGGAAATGCTCAATGATAGAGTAATCAGAAAATCTTCTTGTGGGCTGAGATTAAAAGTAGATTGGACACAATTTTTTTTGAGGGGGGGCAGAGTTTCACTCTGTTGCCCAGGCTAGAGTGCTATGGCATGATCTCGACTCACCATATCTTCAAACTCTTGGGCTCAAGAGATCCTCCTGTCTCAGCTTTCTAAATAGCTAGGACTATAGGCGCACGCCACCACACCCAGCCAATTTTTCTATTTTTTTAGAGACAGGGTCTTGCTTTGTTGCTCAAGGTGGTCTTGAACTCCTGGCCTCAAGCAATCCTACTGCTCTCCCAAAGTGCTGGGATTACAGGCTTGAGTCACTGCACCCAGCTGGATAAGATTTTATAGGAAAAAATAGACAAACAGTGAAACAATTTGTCTAAGTATGTGTATTAGCTTATTCATTTGATCGTAATCAACTTAACACTTTATCAAAAATCACTTTATCAAGGGAAAATTTGACAAGAGCTGGGCTCAAATCCTTCAACCTATTTCCAATGGGAGGCTGGGACTGAAAACAATTTAAGACAATGCACCAGCTCCAATGCTACAGCATTTGAGGCACATGCAGCTTTTTTACTGTATTGTGTGCTTCTGTTTCAGCTCCGCCTTCTTGCTTCAGCTCTTGCAAGTTTAAATACATGTCCTTGTCACAGTGTATTTAGTGCCATGTTTTCTGCACTTTTTCACTTTTCTTTTGTTAGTGACTCTATTTAAAATGATCCCACAGCCAGGCACTGTGGCTCATCCCTGTAATCTCAACACTTTGGGAGGCCAAGGTGGGAGGATTGCATGAGCTCAGGAGTTTGAGACCAATCTAGGCAACATAGTGAGACCGTGTCTCTACCAAAAAATAAAAAAATTAGCCTGGCCTGATGGTGCACACCTGTAGTCCCAGCTACTCAGGAGGCTAAGGCAGGAGGATTGCTTGAGCCCCACAGGCTGAAGTTGCAGTGAGCAGTGACAGTGCCACTGCACTCCCACCTGGGTTATAGAGTGAGACCTTGGCTCAAAAAATAACAACAAATAATGCGTAATATGTTTATATGTCAGATATACATACTTTTCTTAAATCCTCACCATGTAACTATAATATTGATTCAAATTCAGTGTTCTGTAATATCCATCTTATGCTGATATATCCATAATCAATAACTTTTGTATTTGTATAAAGTTTATACTGAATTATCCTTTTGTGAGCTACATCCTGTTTATTTCCTTGAACTAGACATCATTCTAGTTTTTCATGGATTAAGATTTTTGCTGGGTGTGGCAGCTCACACCTGATTACAGGATTATCAGCACTTTGAGAGGCTAAGGCTAGAGGGCAGCCTGAGCCTGGAAGTTCAAGCCCAGCCTGGGCAATATGGCAAGACCTCACCTCTACAACAAATTAAAAAATTAGCCAGGCATGGTGGCACACGTCTATAGTCCCAGCTACTTGGAAGGCCAAGGTGGAAGGATCACCTGAGCCCAGCTGGTCACCTACAATAGACTGTGCCACTGCACTCCAATCTGGGCAACAGAGTGAGATCCTGACTCAAAAAAAAAAAAAAAAAGATTTTGAATCTAGTTCCCCAAGAGTTTAACCCACTGACCCACTTCTCACATTTATATTAATGATAAAGTAAGACTGATTTTGGAGTAATCCTGCAGAAAATCAATAAGCCTCTATAGAATTAAATGAGCTAATCAAAGTAAGTATTAAATAAGTAAATCAAATTAATTAGCACGATTTGGTTATTATACAACTAAATCACATTTGTAATCCTTTGCACCCTAATGTCCCCTCTCAGGGGACATAAAGAGATTGCTGGTGGTCATATAGGGCAAATTTATGCAAGCACAAACTTTAAAAAAATGTATGGTTTCCTTGAAGTTTTTCATTCAAATTGCACAAAAAAAGCAAATAAAGAGATGGAATATATACTGAGATATGATCAATCAATTGAGAATTGGTTTTCAGGAATCACTAGTGCATCTTTCAACACTGTCTTTGAACAAGAGACTGCATAATAAATTACATATTACTAGTGTGGGAGGAAGAAAACAAGACTGCTCAAATAGAAAAACACCAGGTGGAAGACGTCCAGCAAATGACTATTGCACAACATGGATCAATGAACCTGCAGTGCATGTCTGTGACTGTTTCACATGTTACCACATGTTAGAAAAATATAAGAAATAAAATTTTGATTTTTTTTGTCACAAGTTCCTCAATGTCCAAAATTCCATTATGAGCCAAAATCATTATGATAAAATACTTGGTTCCAACACTATTCTTTTAATATGAAGTGATTCATTTTTCACTATTCCATAAAAAAGAGTTTCTGGTAGATGATCCACGAGATGTCTCCGAGTGCAGAGTTAAAAAAAAATGCTGCACACAATAACTACAATTGTCAATTAAAAATTTTTTTAAAAATAAGTAAATGAAACTTCCAAAGACTGAAAACTGAATAGTAGAGACTCACCAAAACACTGGTTATGATTTTCCATGGTCTCAAATAAAAAGAACACATCGCCTTTAAGTTACAAATATGTAAATAAGTTTACATACTATCTTAAAATAAAGAATTATAATCTAGTTGCAAAAGTATTTGAAAAACCTCTATGAAGTACAATGAAAGGGAAACTAAAGGCAAAACTGCTGAAAGATAGATGGTTCTATAGGTCTAAAAAGTAGTTATTCTTACTTTAGGTCACATTTAGATAAGTCATTGTTAAAACACAGGAGGCAGAGGACATTTTCACAAAATGTAAAACATTCTTCTAATTATTTCCACATCAGAAGATAATGGATAATAAACTATATAATGCATATGGATATAATAAACTATATAATGCATAAGATAATGGATAATAAACTATATAATGCATAAGGAAACAAAACAGTACGATGAAGAGCCTGAATTCAAATACATTAATTTCACAAACAGAAAGTTTAAAGTTTGCTTGTTTGAAACATATGCTTGGTCCATTACAGAGAATATATAACCAGTTCATACAACCCATATAAATAGTTTTATGACAAAATAGAAAACATACTAGGTTCACCCTTCAAATTAAGATTATTAAAGGCATTTAGCTAAGGTTCCTTAAAAAATGGCCTGGTACAGGGCAGGAGGTGGGTGGATGGAAACAAAATAAAACTACCCTGATTTTCAAATATTTTGTTATACATTCAAAAGTCATTTACCTATTTTTTAAGAGACAGAACGTGATCCTACATTAAATTGCAGTTCAGGAAGAGTCTGAACATCCTCTCTGAAAAATGGAATCTAAAGAGAAGGAAAGGGGTTCAGAGAGGGCAGAACACACAGCACCCAGAAAGAACAAGGTGTGGCCCTGGGATTTGGCCACGGCTCGGTCCTACGCTACCTCAACACCTTCACCCTCCACCTCCTGCTGTCTCTGTAACAAAGGAGATCTCTTATACCCCCTAGACTTCAGAAAAATTGTCCTGTTCTTAAGGGATACACAGAATAACAGTATTTTAAAGCTGGGATAAATCTTGGACATAGGCTTCAATTACTAGACCTTGAAATTTCAGACTTCAGGCTCATAGACTATTAGGGTTCTTCCAAAAATGCTCAGAATTAGAGAATTACTGAAGGATCCATAAGTGTCAACTCATTTTTGCATATATAATTTATAGAGAAGCCAAGTTTTAGTAACAATATTGCTCAAAAAAACTATTGACATTAACAGCATGCACAGTACCTTTTGATAAACAATGGAGCACACAAGATCCTTGACAGCAGATAAAGACAGTTCTTGGGCTTCAACGGCAACACTCTCCCGTGTGAGGCCAATCTGCAGTAGAAATGAAACTGTATGCACTGAGCCTCTGGAGTTGGTGAGTGATGGTGCACTGAGGCTTCCATTGGAGAGTCGGGCAGAGAGGCCCGTCTTAGGACTGGAACACGGAGAAGCAGCTGGAAGCACAGCAGGAAGAGTTGCAGGTAATACAGACTTCTGGACTGATGGAGGGGAATTATTTGCAGACATCTGCCTTTCTTTAATCTTTTAAAATAGTTGTCGATTCGTTCTAAACAGCTATGAAGAGGTTTTCAAAAAATCAGCAGTAAGAAAAAATGGTGGCACTTTGGGATTTAGTTGAAACCTTCTTTATTTCCTCTTTTAAGCCACTCATGTCGATGATTGCAAGTTTTATCACTGAGTTGAATGCACAAAAGGTCCTACCTCTCTTAATTTCAGTCCCATCAAAAAAGAGTCTTGTCTTTAGGACCACAACCAAGGATATGCAAAAGATTTGACATCGCTGAATTGTCCTCACCAGAACACAGCTGACATGGCTTATTTATGAAACATCTTCATTTATTTTCCTTTAAGTCTTTTCTTGTCTCTTTCTTTTAATTTCAGAAAATACATGATGAATAAAAGTTGTTCTTCTGTCAAGATGAAATCCAACTGGTTTAATAAATAGTGTTTTGGGTTCGTTTATTCAGTACTTATCCTTTGGTTCACTGATTTGCTGGGATACCTTCTCAAATATCCGCACCTTAAATCACCTTCTCAGATGTCATTTTCATTTAGGTGGGGTATGACCTTTTCTATGATGAAGTACAAAGTTTTTAAAAATAGTACTGGCATATTGCATTTGATAAATGGGTCCACTGGGAAAAGTTGATGCTTTCTGAAATGCAGTGAGCCTGGAAGAAATTTTTAAAAAGCGTTTTAAATATCTTATATACATTTGACATTAATCTTAAAATGTAAGAATCCCTGGTCCTATGTTTGTAATCTACTAATAAATCCTAACAGTAGCCATTTTTAATCTAGCTATCAAGTCATTTTTACTGTAGATATAATTTCAGGGAAAGTCTCTTAAAAAAAAACCTCTGGAATTCTTCATTAATATCTGAAACTTGAAGATTAAACACTTTTTAGTTGATGAAGAATAAATACTTTTATTCTACAATTACACAACTGAGTTATGACAAAAACAGAAAGGACAAAAAAAGAATAAAACTGACATTTTCATAGACATAAAATATGTACCACCCAGTCATATAATAGATATGCAATACTTTCCTAATACAGACAAGTTAAGAGTATATAAAGTCTAATTCTGCCAAAATATGACTTTTGACTTACTTTGTTGAAAAATTCCCTCAGAAGGCCAAAGAAGCAGGAGGGGATACACTAGTCAGTTCTGTGACCAACACAGTGTGAAAGCTGACATACTTATGACAGGAACACAAGAGAAAGTGATCTCATCACAAGGGATCTCTCCCCTCCAAGTTCTAACCAGGCCCATCTCTGCTTAGCTTCCGCGATCAGACAAGATCAGGCATGCTCAGGGTGGCAGGCACGTCTGCAGACCATAAAGGGTTTCTTAACAGCAAAAAAGACACTGAGCACAGTTAAATATGTATCACTGTTTTTAGGAAAGCACAGTTCAAAAAGTAAAACAAGCAAACAAAAAGGTATGACTCCATATGGTTAAAAGAAATGGCTCAAAAGAGAGGGACTGGATTCCTCCAAGTTCCCTCTCTTTTGAGACACTCATTAAAACACCAGTGATGAAAAAGAGGAAAGCAGCCAGTGTGGCTGCAGAGTGATTCTCCACAGAGCAGTTCACGTGTTAAATTAGAATGAACATGGCAGAAGAGCAGAAACACATATATGTAGTGTTAGGAATAAGAACTCTCAGAAGAAACTGAGTTAGAAAACCAGAGCTTAGAGAGGAGCTTATATAGCTACATTCAAGGAAGTGATTATTACTCCATTTTCTATAGCACAGCACTTGGTAGTTTATAAATGCTTCACTATTTTATCTCATGGTTCCTCTTCGATAGTCGACAGGGCAACTACCATTTTTGCAGATGAGAAAACTGAAGCCCAAGGCAATAACACACCTTACCCCACATCATACAGCTACTGGGGTGGGGGTGGGGGGTGGCAACCAGAACCCAGGCTTCAAGCTTTCTTGCCCAGTGCTGCCTCCACAAGAACACACTATTTACAAAGAGAACAAGGAACTGAGAGAATCACTGCTTGGAGGATGTTGAAAGGTTGAGAGCACACACATACAGATGGCTCAACTTGTATTCTGCTTTATCTTCTCCAACAGTTTTTAAAGCAAGTCTGCAGAAAAGCACTGAGAACTGAAACCTGAGCATGGTGAGTAAGAGACAGTAACAACTTTATGTGTATGCAAGTCTCCCAGTCCAGATACAATCCATTCCGTACTAATAAAGCAATTAGCAACTGTCATCATAGAGTTGATTTCTGCAATCTTGAAGAACTCAAAAAGAGAGAAATAGTCATGGTCTGGAGATGGGTAGACTTGCTTTAGGTTCTGGGGGCTAAAAGTGGGGAAGCAAAATTTGAGAAGTTACAAATCTATCAACTTAATTATGAAGCAAGTGGTTTGTGAACAGCTAAAGAACATAATGATCACTAGATGTCAACACGAATTCAAACCGAATAGCAACGCCAAGTCAACCACATTTATATCTTGGAAAATAATGACTATTAGGTTTCTTGGACAGAGGAAATCATAACAATAGCTTACACTGACTGAGCTCTCACTCTCTGCCAGACACTGTTCTAAGCATTTCAACTGCATGACCTCATTTACTACTCACAACAACCCATTTCATAGTTGAGAAAACAGAGGCTTAGAGATTAAAGTTCTTGCCCAAGCTTATATAATTAGCAAAGGCAGGGGGAAAAAGATGATATATTCTGATAAAAGTCATATTCAAGATGGTTTTCCATGCTGTCTTTCTAAGGGTGCTGCTGGAGTGTGAGCTGAATGTTAGTTGCAGTTGGGCAAGTTTGCTGTTCTGTCGATAGATGAGGAAAGTCTTTGGGGTAGGCCTTGAACTCTGTCCTCAGCCCTGTATTACCTTTCATTATTTACAAGATGACAGACACAGAAGGTATGCTTCTAATATTCTCAGAGTGAGCAAATCTGGGAGAAATAAAGTGAAACTTAAGCATAAGTGTAAACTTTGCTTTTATTGCAAAAAAGTTAAACGTGCAATATGGAAACAGAAATGCTTCCTTAGAAGTTGTTCACCTGAGAGGGGTTATCAACCTGAGTTTGATACAAACTAACAGCATGGGTGACTACAGGAGCTCATGCAAACCTAAGCCTAGGACTCTGGGATGGCATCCACTTCAACCTGTAGCCTCTCCTTGCTAGTTGGCCTACACCACTATTGTGTTTATTCCTATGGTTCACATTTTTAGAGCTATATTGAGTTTTTAAAAATGCAACAATCATATGCTTAACAAAACCAATACACAGAATAAGTGGTTTCCAAATATTTGGAGAGGTGTTCACAAAATTGGCTTTATTCAGTATTAGAGGTAAAGGAAAATAGCACTACTTACTCAACTGGCAGGCTGTTAACAACTGAGTTACTGTGCATAAAGGACCTGTAACTGTACCTGGTGAACCGTACCTGGTGCTCAGAAGCCTGAGTAACTTTCATAGTAATTAGTTGAAGGAATTAACAATTAAGTCTCTATTTCATGCTAAACTGCAAGATATAATACTACATTAAATTCAACAACCCTAGATTTGTTTAACTCTCTTTTACAGAAAAGGAGCCAGAGTTTCAGAGAAGTTATTGCTTACCCATGACTATGTAACTAGTCAGTGATGATGGAACTGAGATTCAGTTAAAGTTTCCCTGACTCCAAAGCCCACATTCTTTCTATTATCTCACTGCACATCCAACAACCTAATAACAGAACAGGTTGTCTCACTGGGTGATGAGCTCCATAACATAACTGGCTTGAACAGTTTTAAAAAGCTGAGTAATCACAATAAAGTAGTAAATTATTCATGAATAATACTGTATGCAAGGTAACTAACATAAGACAGCAGTGTTAGAAATCTATTTTAATGGATATCTTCCCACTAAATTTCCATTTTATTATACCTAGTAATATTAGCCAAATAAACTGTTCAGTAATACAACTAATTTACCAGAACAAATTATGACTACTCATATACAAAAATGATTGCTAAAAATCTCAGCATGATCACAAACAGAAGAAACCAAGGAGCCATCAGATTAGCATTTGCCTGCTCAACCCATCTGTTTTCCCCCTCCTTATTTTGTTTATAAACCCGATTGTCCGGTAAAATGCAACAAGACGAAGAGTGCAAAATACTAAGTAGCAAAAGAAATCTGTTGTCTAACTTACATGAATCTTGGTATGTTGCTTCATTTTGTCTTTCTGCTTCAATTAGAAAACTGAAACAATAGTACATCTTACTAATTTGTAAATTATATATCAAGTATATGTGTTTGTTTCTAACTCTATGCAAGTCTCTAAAAAATGGTAATATCATCTAGTGGACAAGCATTTGTTTATTTGGAACATCTCAAATATTCCCTTGGGGAATTAGCTGTCACATACTCCATTTAAATGACCTTACATAATCTGTCATCATTGTTGAATGGAATCAAGATAGGACATTAAAGGCATCCTGAGCCCAATCTGCCCTATGATTATACACAAGGTGAAACAAAGGTCCTTTCTGGAGGCTAGAGGACTTGGGGGTTATTTCATAGTAAGAGCACAAGGTGCCCTGCCTTCCTCTCCCCGTTCCTCCCCTTCCCCCATGCACACACTAGCTCATAATTTTTTAAAAGTCTCTAATTAGAAGAAGATCTAACAGCAGTATTTGCATTTCACAAATGCTTCTTGAGTACATATTATTTACCAGACTGCTATGAGAGACACTGAAGTTACACAGCAGTGGCCAAAACAGACATGGTCACTGCTCTCTGGAACCACAGTGTGATGAGGGACACCGACATTAAACAAACATTCACATAAATAGCTGGGTAATTACAAACTATGAGAAGTGATATGACAGAGTATACTAAAGAAACCCAGTTTCAGCTAGGATCTCAGAGAAGGTCCTTAAAGGAAATTATATTTAAGCTGAGACCTTTGGGTAAGTAGGAGTCAGCGAAGCAGAGAGGAAAGAGGATTCCAGGAAGGCAAAACACATCCAGTTATTAAATACTTCAAAAGGAAACTCATTATTTACTGTAGTCAGTGTTCTTTTAGTACAGTACTCAGTAAAGGCTAAAACAAAGAGGTAAAATGCTTTTCCTATTTGGATAGCATAATATTTCCCATGACTTCCTACCTGAAGAGCTTTCCAGGTTTCATTTAGTTGTGTATGACAGAAATGCTAATGATGTAGAGGGTTGTGTCTTTTTTCTTTTAATACTTGATATGCACACGTTTTCTTTTTTTTAGTCAGAGTCTCGCTCTGTCGCCCAGGGTGGAGTGCTTTGGCATGATTATAGCTCACTGCATCGACCTCCTGGAGTTAGATGATCCTTCCGCCTCAGCCACTAAGTAGCTGGGACTACAGGTGCATACCACCATGCCTGGCTAATTTTTTGAGTTTTTGTAGACACAGGTCTTGCTATGTTGCCTAGGCTGGTCTCGAACTTCTAGGCTCAAGCAGTTCGCCTAGGCCTTCCAAAGTGCTGGGATTACAGGTGTGAACCACTGCTCCTGACCCCCACAAGTATTCTTTTACCATGTATAAAAGCATGTGGTCTTTTTCAATGCAATCCTGATTGGTATCCTGAAGCTAGTATCCTAAAGTCAGTGTCCATATTTTTACCTTGGCACAGATAGGACTTTGCTTAATAATCCTGTTGTTACTTTTATGTTGCATATCGTTTTTAAAAAAACTCAAATATTATCTTTGTTGTCGGTTTTTAAAAAAATATTTTGTAGCAATTCCTACATCTAATTCTATATTTTCAAAAACATGACCATTACCTTAGATTAATATACTTTCCCTCCTAAGAGCTCAGCACTTGCCTGCATTGTTTACTCCAAAAGTCTGCTCATTTAAACCAGTGGCAGTTGCGTCTCAGTCCTTCCACTGTCAGAGAATTCTCAGAGTGCACACCATGTCTACTCTCTGCTCAGGCACTGAAAAGTTTATCCAGTAATAAGATTACAGACAGCCAGTCTGGCAAAGCAACATAAATCTATGCTGGGTTTGATAAGTCTTCATCTCCACACCACTAGTATCTAAGAAATCTGACTGGCTAGTGGCCAATGAGCAATTTCTCAGATATTGACACTACAAACTAACCACACAAGTGGAGAAAACTTTTTTCCTATATTGAAATTAAAATTAAAATGACTCCTAAGTATATTATCTCATTTTTTTCTTGAGATGACCTCTCCAAAGAAGTATACATATATAACAAGCTCAATTTGAATTACATAATCAGAGACTCAAAGTACAATCAGCACAGGAGACTGTGAATCATAAGCAAGATTATTAAATCAAATTAACACTTGCACTAGCAAATAATTTCCCTATATAACAAGTTCTGTGCAAGCAATTTCTTCTAAAAATGAACAACTGACTCCACCATGGTAGTATTTTCACCAACTTTAGACTGTCTTTTTTTTAAATGACAAAATGTCCTTCAAGAAAAGTGCATTTAAATGACCACCTCTTCATTTTTTTTTTCCTGTCGGAGGTGTTTTTAAATCTTATATAATTTTTAAGTTGAAGTTAAAACACCCCAAAGCTGTATTATTTATTAAGTTCTTTTTTTGTGTGGCAGTGTTTAAATGAAAAACAATCCACTAACAGAAAGAAATGTCATTTTCCAGTGGTCCTCTGATAAAAACCGAAAGCTCATAACATTTACATACTTCAGACACACCAGTAGCTGGGATGCTTAAAAAAATTAGTTTTAAGATATACATCATCCACATTTTTGACTCTTGCAGTTTCCTGAAATGTGAAATGCCATCTACTAAATGACAGGACCTAGGGTAGAAACTGGCCTGTCCAACACTCCGATGATCACCCAGGGAAGCAAAACCCCCGCATGGCTTTGGCGACACTCTGACTAAAGCGTGTGAAACTCCTATTTGGCTGAATTTCCATGCTTGATCGCAACCCAGACTCCAGCAGGGGAGGTTGGCAGAGGAACCCTGGCCCGGAGCTCAGTCGGGGACCTCTGCAGAAGCCCTGCAGCAAACCCACGGGTACTCCCTGCCCTCTCCCCAGGAGAAGCGTGTCCACAAGCCTGACTTAAGCAAAAGTAAAATCGCTTAAAAAATAAATAAATAAATAACTAAATAAATAAAAGAGCGGCAACATGAAAGTGCACAGCAAAAGCAGTGGGAAGAGCCATAAAACAACGCGTTCCAGGGGACAAATGAAGGCTTTCCAAAAAAGTTTTTTGTTGCATTTGTAGCTACAGCTCGCACGGACGGTGTCGCACGCCGTCGCAGTAGTCCAGGGTGTAACTTATCCTTCCTAATCGAAGATGCCACCGATAGTCTTATTTCCAGCGGGGATGGGTGTGGCTGGAGACAGTTAGGTCCTCGCCATCCCTCGGCGAGTGGGAAAGTTGGCGGGTGGCGCACACTTGTCGCTGGCCTGAGGGTCGCGGTCGCACCCGGCCAGGCCTACGCCGCCGAGGGTGAAGGCTTGAGATTTAAAAAGCCCAGCAGGCGACCGAGTCGTGGGTGGCTGGGTGGCGGCGTCACGGTTCGCAGGGACAGGCGCACTCCCCAGGGCTGCATCCCGAGAGGAGCCTCCCAGGAGCGCGCACCGCGCGGGGCAGGGCTGCCACTCGCGCATCCATCCGCGCGCGGCCAGGAAACCGGGGCGGGGGGCTCCCGCGACATCAGCAAGTCCCCCCACCCCCACCTCCCGCCCCGGGACGCCCACGACGGAAAGTGATGAAAAGAAACGAAAGGGGTTCGCACAACCCGGCGCGGAGGCGAGCCCCGCGGGGCTGGCGTAGGGACACAAACCGGGAGACCCGGGGACAGGTCGCCGCGGGGCCGAGCCTTTCTCTAAGCGAACATTAGAGCTAGAAACCTATCGGAATAACCTCTATTGATCTATACCACTGGAGGATGACTATAATCAATACTAATATGGCATACAGATTCCAATAGCTTGAAGGAAGATACTGAATGTTCCTAACTCAAAGAAAAAATAAATGTTTTAGATACTGA